TAGTTTACGTATTGAAGTATTTGCGCTGCTCGCTAGACTGTTCTCAGCCGAGTGATCGCATCGCTGTGCAAACGCATGCGTCGATTAACGCTGCTCGGCGTGGTGGACGCTGGTGATGCAGTGCGTGCTATTGCATTACGCTGTTGACTTCTGCGCGCTTAACGCTTAACATGGGTGAACGCGGTGTATCGACAGCTTTGAGCGCTTTATATAGCGACCGCATATTCCTTGAGTGCGTTGCGTTGGTTTTTGGCGAGCTGGTTTGGCGCCATTAACTTTTGTGTGATTGACGTTGAGGCGCTGTCTATCGTTGTGCGTCCATTTGGTGTTACCATTGAATCGTTTGAATGCCAGGATGCTGAGTTCTCGGAACCACTATCACTAATTGTTTCGAACTGATGCTGTTCTTACGCGGATGAGACTTTGTAGAAAGCGTTGCATTAGTGTGTATGAACGCCATTTTTGTTGGCCGGTGTTATTGTTGGAGCTAAACGCGATTTCAGCGTCACAGGCGTGCGCCTGCGGTACAGCCTCTATGAAATTCGGATTTAAGCGGAGTGTGCCGGCGTCGCTGGCTGTATGGGGATGCGCGCAGCGTTTGTCGAATTTTTCGGTACGAAAATTTTGTGAATTTTGTAGACTTAATCGGATTGTCACTTAGTTAAAGTGATAGAATTTCGCTTACTAATGATTTTCATACCAGCATTGTTCGATTTTGTTAATCACCGTTTTATATTCGGGTATTTTTTGTTATTTTTTTTGTATATTTTTATAGCTCAGTGATTTAATTTAAGATTTTAATCGTGATTTTCACTTTACAAATATGGTTTTTATTTTTTTGTCATTCACTAAAATTCATATATAAATATTAAATTACATAAACCAATATCTTGAGAAACCATACCAACTACGGTTATTACGATTAAACCCTGATAAATGCTTGCTTTTTAAACCATTTTCCGACCTACACTTAATCACAAAATTTATGCTGTTGAGTAGATTTTCTCACTAATCTACTAGATTTAGCAAGATTTCGCCATACAAAGATGACACTTCACTGAGGATATTTGAAGTTAATATACTCGAAATCTCCCTGTGCGTCTGATTTAGCGCCACCTGCTTAAAACATTTTGTTTTATCACACTGATCTTGACACTACAAAATGTCAAAATGAAAAAATTAAGCAAACAAATAAAGTAAAAAGTAAAAACTTAAAGCAATATCAATTACATAAGTGAAAACGGCAGAAAATAATATCAAAATATTAGAGTAATGTGGAGTGAGGCTGCCAAAGCCAATCTAACAGAATTATAGCGAGAAAAAATGCCACAGCTTCAATCGGCTAGTCAAAAACAGCTGTTTTGCTATAAATCTCTAACGGCAATGAGAACAGTCTAGATTCGTGAATTTACTAAATATAATCTACCAACTTCAAATTTTTGGTGGGCACAGAATAATCTATCTTCGAATCAAGAATTACCATATTCGAATTTTCGAATATATTATATTATATAAAGTGCGATAGTCTATTCGTATATGTAAAATAAGTTTTCTTTCAATGGATAAGAAAAAATCTTCCGCTACTTGGCCAATAATTTCTCTGTATTTTCGAAATCACAAAAACGATTGTTTTAGTATATTTGAACAGACGGAGTCCCTTCCGAAGCCTTGTCTATCCATTTTATAACGAAAATCGCGACAGAAAACAACGATATTTGAAATAAACATTTTTGAAGATGCTCATCAATATAAATAGATGAGATATTCCTTGTCATGCTTTAGTAAAATATCTCTCATGCTTTCTTTCTAAATAATAATGTAAAGAAAACGACATCTATACACTTTAAAAAGCAATCAGAAAGTAATATTTATTTATTATGTGTAACCATTGGTATATATGGGTCTATAACATAGAACAAGAGGCAGTCAAAGGAGTGAAGTTTTTTCAGAGAGACATGAAATTTCTACATTCCAAGACTAGTGGAAAATATTAGCTATGGAATTTACAAGATCTTAATTATTAGTTGCAAAAATAAGTTGAAAATTTTTTCGATAGTACTTCACTAATTATTATTATTATTTTTAAATTTCTATGAGCATCAAATGTTTTCAAACAATTTTCATTTGTTACCATGTCGCAATATTGTCACTATGGCGACGATCTGTGTATTGTGGTTGTGACGAAATTTTGTTGCCCTACATAATTTCGTTGCACTTGCACGATTTTACTATTAATCTTCTAACGGTGAGTTTATAAAGTTCGAAAATCACTGCATTTCATTAATTAAATTAGCAAACGCGCCCACGCGCCCATTTTATAGTCGCTTGAATTATTCGCATTTTCTTTTATTCCTAAATCCTTTACTTCAACTACATTTACATTTACTTCATTCTTTAATTAGTTAAACTTTTATTTTCGCACTTGAAAACAAGCAAAACTACCAAAAGTACCAGTTTATGTTACTGTTGTTGTTGCTGTGTCATTGTTGCGCCGAATTGAATTCGCATTTGTTTGCATTGCTGTAATAGTAATTTAGCAAATTTCATGGTTAGAGCAACAATAGATGGTTTTAATGCGGTTTTGGGCCAACAGCTCAAGCAGAACAGCGCATGGCTAGCGGCAACAGTGGATGACAACAAGAACAACAATAATAACAGCAACAACAGTAACTATAAGTAAGAATAGCGCTTTTGCTTTCCGCACTGCGTCGAACACTTACATACGTTAATACAATAAGACAATAATACATAAAAATCACCAAGCAAAAAGGTAAATAGCCAGCAGCTAATAACTCAAAGCAAGCGCGGTGTGCGAAGCTAAGAGCCAAGAGCAAGTGGCAAAAGCCGCTTGCAATGATCATAACCTTGACTAACGGCCAACACCGAATAAGCGCAAACGCACAACGCACAACGCGCCCAAGCGAATGGACATTTGGGTGCATGCATTAGGGTGTTTCTTAAAGAAATTAAATGAACATTTTAAATGACAAATGTAAAAGACTCTAAAAGGAACTAATTTTTATAAGAGATATCATTGCATATTAATATCAAGATCGCTGCGGGTTTAAGAAATCAGATATAATAAACATTAATTTAAGAAACACCCTAATATATACAGTATAATATTATATATATATAATGTCTGCGCCGCAACAATAAAAACCGTCATATGTGCGACACAGCATCATAAATACACCGATCAAATTACGAGCACAACAACAACAAATCTGTGTATGACAAGTAAAAGCTGACAGAAACGTTAAATAAAATTCTAAGCATTAGTTACACCTCAAGCAAGCGTACACAAGTACTCAGTGTTGTCACTTGTGGGTTTTGCGGAAATTCTAATAAGTTTGGGCGGCATGAAAGCAACGCGTGGAGCGAATTCGTAAACGATCGTCATTTGCTGTCATACCCACCACGCTTACTACCTGCTCATACACGTGTAATAACTCATTTCAATGTGGTTGTTTGTATATTCATTCACTCTTTGTTACTCTGATGTAAGCTTTGTATGATATAAGTTAGTTATATAAACATTTAGGTT